CTTTAAACACTTTCTTTTATAGGATGTGGATGCCATAGTCGTAAAATATATTAACGCGTGCAATGTATTCACTTAAGTTCAAAAATGAAATACATACGTACGTATAAACGTATCCTAAACGATCATACGACTGACCGAGTTTGTCGTATTTTACCGCAGAGGTGAATCCCCTACACTCTACATCATAAATCGGGGACTCCCCGACGCCCGACATAAATCATCGAGGCTTCAGCATTTTACCGTCGCGCTGTTTCCGTGCGCCGAGAGTCATTTACGTTATCGAGCGTACGCATTGTTTACGTTATCGCGCGTTCCGTTTGATCACATAGAACGAAGTTTGTGTTTACATTAGCGCAAGTTTGCATTATCCCGTGTTTACGTTATCGAGCGTCTGCTGTACTTGTTTTAACAACGCATGTACTTGTCGAAACCATATCTTTTATTGTTGTTTACACCAGAATTGGCAGACTGCATGACAGATGCTTGACAAGTATAGACAACGCGTTATCCTTTCTGAAACTTCGACCTTAAATAGCTTAAAAACTGTCCATTATCGATCTTCTTGAATCGATCCTAAACAGATTCGACACAATTCAAAAATGTGTACGCTGCACGTGGAGAATAAACTATCGCATATTATCAACATGCATCTTGATTGAAGGAAATGGTGTAACACATCGATTTTAAGGACCTCAGACCAATAAGAGCTTTACCTTTAATGTCCAAACTGTTAGAGAAAATTGTAGATGATGAACTTCGTGAGCATCTAGAAATCAACAAAGTCTTGCCTGACACCCAGTCTGGGTTTAGGAAATTACATAATACATCTACAGCGCTCATTAAAATTTCCAGTGATATAGTGAAATTTATAGACGATGGCATGATAACGCTACTAGTCATGCTAGACTTCAGCAAGGCATTTGACATGGTAAATCACAGAGTTTTGTGTGAAAAACTGCACCATTATGGTTTGACCGGAAATGCCATGCTGTGGTTTAGTAATTACTTGTTTAATAGATCTCAATGTGTAAAATTGCGTGGTAAAGTGTCTACTTTACGAGCTTTGAAGTCTGGTGTTCCACAAGGCAGCGTTTTAGGTCCTATTTTATTTACTATTTATACCTCAGATCTGATAAAACATATATCATCTGACTGGAATGTACATTTGTATGCGGATGATGTACAAGTTTACAAACCATGTCAACCAACCAATGTAAATTCTTTAATATTAGAACTTAATAAAAATTTAGACATAATTGAACAGTACTCAAAAAATCATTGTTTGAAGCTCAATCCCTTGAAAACCAAAGTATGTTGTGTTGGTTCTAGACTAGCGATTCTGAGGTGTAAACAAGTAATAAATACGAACATATTTTTAGAAGGAATTAACATTGAATTTGTTGAAGAAACAAAAAATTTGGGAATAGTACTTGATAAGAATTCAAGTTTTGAAAGTCACATTATAAATATGCTCAGAATATGTTATTATAAATACAAATCACTATGGAGATATAAGTATATATTAACAAGTGATATCAAACTAAAACTTGTTAATGCATTAATCCTCACACATTTAGATTATTGTAGTACTGTATATCACCCTTTTATTACTGAGGAAATGCAACAGAAAATTCAAGTTTTACAAAACCATTGTATGAGGTTTTGTTTCAATGAGATAAACAGACGCGAACACATTACTGGGTATTATGTAAGGGAAAATCTTTTAAAGTTCAAATATCGCTCATTACTTCTCTATGCTGTTCTACTATTTAGGGTTTTAAAATATAAATCTCCGAAATATCTTTTTGACACATTAGAGAAAAGATCTTCACTCCATCAACTGTTCCTCCGTAATGAATATTGTTATAATATACCAGCCCACACTACCTCAAAATTTAAAAAATGTTTCTATTACATAGCTCCCAGTATACTAAATGGTTACCCAAGTTTCTTTAAATTAACGTCCATTCACAGCTTCAAAAGAGAATTCAAAAGAATGCTATTACAATTACAATTTAATGAATCCACAAGTGGCTGAATAAATCTCATTATTAATCTTATTATATTTTAAAGTTTTATATTATAGTCAACCAAATATCCTTTATGTAATGTATATGATATACCTTAGTAAGATATACTAATGCACTTAATGAATTTACCTTAGCTATTCAGGCGGGGGTGAAAAATGGCTATGCCAATCCCCAGCCCTTTGGAGTATTATTTTTTTTTGTGTTATATTATTTGCTCGTATTTTGATTCTATTATGTATTAATACTCCAATAAACATTATTATTGTTATTATTATTATTATTATTATTATTATTATTATTATTATTATTATTATTATTATTATTATTATATTGGCAACGCGACAGATTGCAGCGTTAGCAGTGATGAGCTTCGCTGTCTCTCTCGCACACATTGAATTCAAACCGTCAGACAAATCAGTTGCATTCCAGACAAATTATAGGCCATAAAAGTAGGGTTTCGTATTTAAAAAATTAACTTCTCAGTAATTGAACATACAAAATGCAAATTTCTTACAGGTATTGAATGTATAAAGGGCATTAATCTACAGTAATTAAAGTTCATTTGGAGCGTTTTAAAGGGTTGGAATGAAATAATGCAACCAGAAAATACGACTGAATGTCTAACACATTGGCAGACTTAAAAAAATATCACTTTATTTTATGTAAAATTTGATTCTAAAACTTTTTTTACTTTTGTTATTTTTCAGGCAAACAAGCAAAATTATGCGACATGTTGATAAGTCAAGATGCAACTGTAATTTTAAGTAATAAGCAATAAAATATGCTTAATATGATTCTTTTCTTTTTAGTACTGTATAACCTGGTAAATCAACGTGTCCATAACAGTTTTCAGGGCGTTTTCCATTATTATTATTAATGAACTGTGAAAGGCTATTAGAAATTACAATCTCTCAGAGCATTAAGCCCAAAAAAGTACAGTGACACATTTTTTATTGTCTCCTAAAAAATTCAAATTATGGGTCTTACAAGGTTTTTGCACTGAACGATTATAGTGTACTGATGAAAATTAAGTTTTTATACAGGGTGGCGCATCGAAAACGAAACAGACGCATTTACTGGCGGCTCAGTTTTTGTTTGGAAAAACGCTCAGATCCGTCAATTTTGTTTTCGAGTGGGACTGAGCCGCCAGTAAATGCGTCTGTTTCGTTTTTGATGCGCCACCCTGTATAAGCTGTCGAGCTGCATTAGAACTATACATTTTCTATAATTCATCGTAAATATTTTGATAACACGAAACTTTCTTCCATAATCGCATGTATACGTTAGACATTCGTATTCGGTGTTGGTTCAGACCGTAATACTGCCTATAGCGATTGTGTGTCAGGTACTATTCAACAGCCTTAAGCTGAGAGGAAAGAAGAAAGTCTTCTAATGAAGAAGGAAATACGTACTAAGTAGGTTACATGTTCGCTGGTTTCTAAATCAATTATGATGAAATTGACTTTGCGGGAACTGTGAATACTAAAAACGTAAAACATACGACGAACACTGTTAATGTGAAAAAGTAGATAAATCAGAACGGATGAATTTTTTCAACAAAATATGAGACTTAAAAAATGTATTAGCACATTATCGCAGAAAAATTGTGCTATGAACTTAGAACAATTTTTGCTGGTGATGCCATGCTTTCTGTACAGGTTGTCTCACTATAGATTGACCCCCATAACTTTTTTGTATGACTGTTCAGAAAAACATATTTTACACAAAAGTTGTAGGGGTGCGGTAGAGAGGACGGACGTTTTTGGGATGGGTAGTACTCTCGGCCTCCGTCTACGAGAGAGGTGGGAAGGGTGCCGTTTGACTCGTGAGATCCTCGCATTATTTTACCAGTTGTCGTTATGGAGCCTTGGACGGTATTGTTTCGTCCGAAATAATGAGTCAGTCATCGTCGCACAGCGTGAGTTTCGTCGCCACTTCAACATTCATCGGAATAGAGCTGTTCCCTCTCGAAACACCATCCTTCGTTGGGTTGAATCACTTCGCAGGCGTGGTGAACTGATCAACAGATGACCAAGAGGAGCGCCGCGAACAGTTCGAACTCCTGAAAATGTTGAACGCGTTCGACAGATCTTTCTTCGCAGTTCGACTCTATCTGTCCGGAAACATGCTGCTGCATTTCGCCTTAGTTACAAATTGGCCATTGTGCAACAGTTACAGGCCGGAGATTATGCACAACGAATGAACTTCGCACGTGAGATGGAAGCACTGATCGATCAAAATGAGAACCTCAAGGCTAGAGTATACGCGAACAAGCCCCGAACTCTGGACGAATTGAAGGACGAAATTCGCGTGGAAGTCGCCCAAGTTGAGAGAGCGATGTTAGAGAGAGTCTACGCGAACTTCCAAGAACGCCTACAGCACTGCATCAACGATTCCGCCACCACATGCCTGATGTGATTTTTCACACTTAACTGTCTCAAATGCTATTTCCTTGTGAAGCTGATTCCATCAATAAATTTCTTTTCGGGTAAAAATTAACTATTTTATGATTTTTTTAAAACCGTCCATCCTCTCTGCCGCACCCTGTATAATATTTTACGTGCCAGCGAAAAAAGTTGTATTTTTCAATATAATTTCAGAGACAATGATTTTTTCTGATTAAAATATACAGGGGATCCCAATGTTCCGTGAACATAGAAGTACCACATACGTTAGATGACGACAAAGTTTTCTTTTTAAAACACATTTTTAAAGATACATCAAAAACCGATAGTATGAGATTTCCATTGCCAGTAACCTCACGCACTACCCTGCAAGTTCGTCATAGCGCCGCTTTCTGAAGCTGGATGTACAATCACTTACCAAGCCGTAGCTTCTCTATGCTGTCATGTAGTTTGTTTAATATCTCTCCTGTTGTTCCAATAACAACAAGCACGATGACTACCTTCTCCATTCCCATCTCTTTTATTTCGTCGACAAGTGGTTATTATTACATGTTTTTTTTTTTAGGAAAAAATGCATCCCCAAGATTACACCCAATCCCTGCTGGATGACCTTCCGCCAGTAAAAGAGGATGACTGTATTACAGAGGAAGTAGTTTATGATGAAATTTACTACGAAAAGTCAAGAGTATTATTAGAGTACCAAGATGCACCTGAATACTTGAAGCACAACCCTTTTATCCGAAAAGGTTACCGACAAATGTTGAGTACTGAGCTCTGTATAAGAAGGTAGGAAAGCATTTTAAACAGGCATCGCTAGTAGTAGTGGTGGTGGGCAAACGAATCATGGCAACATTTAAGGCGGCTCCGACGCAGCGGGTTTCAAGCCATTTACAAGGGTTCAGCTGCTTCGAAACTGACACTTCATTTTTCAATATATTTGAATGAAATTCATACAGAATGTTCAGAAGATAATTGCCCAGGGTGCTATAGGAGCAGTTTTTGAAATTTTGTTTTTTCACAAGTTTTATGGTGGGTTGAAGTGCGCACATTTTCTGTTCAACTTCGCGATTTTTTTAAAAAGAATCTAGAGAAAAAATGAAAAAGTGGCTCTATAGCACCCTGTGGGGTTTTGTTTTCAGCACACTATGAAAATTTCATTCAAAAATATCAAAAAATAAAGCGTCAAATATTCAGATAATTTGGTGGCCCTATTTCATATATCCAATATCGCATACATAAGTCATTCTGCAAATAGGTATTCATAATCGCGATCGCTGATACTCCTCGATTTTAAAGCCGTTTTACTTCCCATGCCAGTGGCGAGGAAGTATTGTAACGGCGAAAAATTTCTAAAATGAGATGCTATGTTTTTTTAAGTCATATGACATCTACATCACGAAAAACTATATCACTCATCATCAACTTGGAAATTACTGCTCGGATTTTTTGAAATTTCCACACGGGGTTAGTAGTATGCCAAAGCTTTGTAGTTTTAGTCCAATGGCAAGGGTGCTATAGGCAAAAAAGAAAAAGTTACAATTGCTGAAACTCCGTTTTTGACGTTACAGGGGTTCCTTATCATTGACATAAAAAAATGTACTGCTTAAAAAGTGGAGGTTGGGGGAAGGTGATTCTAAATGTTGCATCTTTGATATCAAAGAAACACGTTCTATTATTAAGACACGATTCTTTTATATACTAAGTGACATATAAATCCGAACACCCAGTTTAAATGGTTTTATTTTAATGAAAGTTGGTGAATGTATTTATCTTACTGTAAATAACAAGTGAAAAAATTTTCAGCCTCATCAGTTGGACATTCCGGTTTTTATACTGCTTTTTTTTTAATTCACTAACGCTCTAAAAATGAATATTTTAGCCGCGGTAAAGAATCAACGTTGGCGGATTTTGGTTCTTGACATCCTTTACGATTGGTTACGATGCCTAGAGTACGGAGACCTGTACGATTTCGTCAACTTAGTGAGTTTGATAGGGGCCGTATAGCTGGACTTTCTTTTCGGGCAATTGCAGTTAGAGTGCAAAGAAGTGTAGACACTGTGGTTAGGTGTTGTCAGGTATGGCTTCGAGAAGGCCGTACGCAAAGAGCAAGTGGCACTGGACGCCGCCGTAGAACAACAGACCGTGAAGATCGCCGCCTAAGATTATTGGCCTTAAGGGACCGTTTCTCCACTACCAGGTCCATTGCAAATGAATGGTTTGCAGAACACGGAATACCTATTGGCATGCGAAGTGTTTACCGACGAATGAGAAGTTTTGGCTTGTTTTCATACCGGCCACACTGGGTCCTCCCTTTAACTCGAGAACACCGACGTAATCGCCTTGAGTGGTGCAGGCAACGGTCACTCTGGGATCAGGAATGGAACAGTATTGTCTTTAGTGACGAGTCTCGATTTTGTTTAGGCATGCACGATGGTCGTGCCAGGGTTAGAAGGCGACGTGGTGAAAGGAGGAATCCACAGTTTTTTGTTGAAAGACATGTTCATCACACTGTTGGAGTTATGGTTTGGGGTGCTATAGCTTATGGTTCCAGGTCACCTTTAATCTCCATCAGAGGTAACATGAACGCGCAGCGTTATATCCACGAAGTTCTAGAACCCCATCTTTTACCCTATCTTGACACCCTGGCAGATCCAACTTTACAACTTTCCAAATAGACTTCTTTCAACATAATGATGTCACATTGTTACCATGGCCACCAAGATCTCCCGACTTATCCCCAATTGAGCACGTGTGGGATATGATGGGTAGGAGATTGCTCAATTTGCAACGTCCTCCTCAGACTCTAGAAGCACTTCGAGAGGAGTTGGTGGTTGCCTGGATTGAGATACCAGAGGAGGACATTGACCACCTGATCAGAAGCATGCCTAGGCGCGTTGGAGAATGCGTAGCACATCAGGGTGCATCCACACATTATTAAAGGTCATTATCATTTACTTATTATGCTTCATTAAGTACTTATACAAAATTTTATTAAAATAAAACCATTTAAACTGGGTGTTCGGATTTATATATCACTTAGTATAGTATAAAAATTAAGAACAAACAAAAAATGATTCTGTGGCGTATGCGTGGAAAATAAAACATCAATAGAACATAGAAAATAATACCAACCAGATCAACAAAACTCCGCTTGTTCACTTCTCAGACAAATTTTGTTGCGGACTTCGGACTGGTACCGAATTCAGACACTAGACTAGACCATAAAAGACTAGACTATACCTGTTCCAACAGGAAGAAGCGCACACCGTTGCTGTTGGAGGGAGATTAGTCGCTACAGATTTTTTTATAAGACGTTTACTTTATACCACCTTTTCAAAGACTGCTCAAGTCGGCGAGGGGGGGTAATTACCCCTGTACCCCCCCGTGGGAGTGCCAGTGTGCTGTCACTACGTAGAATGACACTTTTCGGCACTCGGTCTAAGAAAAAATTGAAATTTGTGATAATGGGAACAAGATCATCACAGGGTGTAGATTTTTCCGATTCTTTTAAAGCCTATAACTTGAAAAGTACACGACTTGGATTCTGGGTCACCCTGTACAAATGTAGTTGAGTGTGTAGCTTTAGTATTAGGAGTATTATCACATGATTCAAACATAGAACTGCTGGAGTCACCAATTTCGTATATTTTCAGCAGAATATGAATTCTCTTCGCTTGCCGCCCTAAATGCTAAAATTGATTAACTAATTTAGTGAAAAAAAATATTGATGTATTTTTGTTTTACTTTCAGTTTATTTTGGTGGACAAACGAAACTATCAACATATGGTCACATATATTCGGTCTGTTTCTTTTCCTCTGCCTTACTGTCTACGATTTCATGATTCTACGGATTCAAGCTACGTGGGGAGACAAAATTATAGTGGCAATTTTTTTAACATGCTTTGTGGTGAGTTTCTTCGACATTTCAATTTCTTCCTCTGAACGATACTGTAATTTATAACCTTTTTTTCAGTCATGTATGGGCCTTTCAGCTATGTATCATACGTTTTCATGTAGATCAGAAGTGGATTGCTACCGATTTTTATCTTATGACTTATTTGGTATAGCTTTATCTCTGCTAGCCGTATACACGTCTGGAATTTACTACGCATTTTGGTGTGAGACTGTAAGTATGAGTAGATACATATTGTTATGTTCAATAGAAACATGGTCAACCTACGGTTTTAATTTTATTATTGCTATTGTTTTCGATACTGGACGATTATTATAGTTATTATTATTGGTGCATATGCTATTAATTTTGGATAAAATATAATTCATTTTTTACTTTGCAACTGAGGATTTGACGATTCTCATAGAATTCTGTTAAACATTTTTTCGATTTCCCAGTTGAAGTAGTGAACCTTAGGATCTTTTCTTAGCGCGTTTCCTGTCAAACGGCTTAAAAGCTCACATGAAAAATTTTACTTTCCACCGTGTTAAATAGTCAAGCCCCACAGGCGATAAAGCAATGTTACCGTCCACTATTCTCGCCACTCTCGGTATTCACGAGTACTTGCTGCTAGATGACGGCTGTAATTAAAGCCACTCGGTGTTATGATACGGTAATTTCATTCATTTCTCTATTCACTTAAAAGCTACGTTTCTTTTTTTAATTGCCCTCTATGGCCGTATAGATAAAAACTTTTATGTGTTTCTATCATGATCTGCGTTTATGTCACTTTGCGTATTAGAGCTCAGTCTCAAATATTTCGCCACGGGCCATAAACGCCCATTTAACGCCCTAGATGATACAAGAATAACTATTAATTGTATTATATTCCAGGATCTGCAATTGTTTTACTTGTCATCGGTCACTTTGATATTCTTAGTGGCTATGATTTTGCAAATACCGTCACTGAACGTCGACCCCAATGTGAAGATGATAGTATTTGTCGCATGGGGTTGCTATGGCGTTATTCCAACAGTACACTGGATTTTCAAACTGGGGGGACTTGATAATCCAGTCGTAAATGTGAGTATACGATTTGATCAAACAGCGAGGATTCTTAAATTGCGATTCGACTTTCAATGCAAAACATTCCCTTTCCGTCCACCAAAGGATCCTAAAGTCTCATAATGCACTATTTAAGGTCGTATCGTTAGTCGTTCCTAGAGTTGTAGTACACCTTATGGCCTCCTTGATTTTCATAGTATGTTCTCTCCTTCTGAAAGGCTGGGGTATTTCTAGATTTCTACTGTTCTGTCTCAGCGCTCTCCTATTGTGGCACTATATTTTCTTTTTGATCTGCAGGAAATTTCAGCCTGATATAACATATGATATACTATTCGTCATTATTCGTCAGAGCGGTCCGGTGGACCTTTGCTCTTAGCTTAAAAAACATATGATATAGATCAAAAACATGAACAATTTGATGCAAATAAATATTTGTAACATAACCTCAAAATAGAGCGCTGACACGGAACAATAGAAAACTATAAAAACCAAGAAGGCCTGCAATTGTAGGAACGACTGACTTCACGGCACTTAGAGTATGGAAAATTGCAGATCTGCAAGGTTCTTTTGTTTTCAAATTTCAAGTTGCACAATGCAAGAATTCTATTTTCGTTTCTTATGCCTACAAGTGAATGAAACCTAACACACTGAAGTAATTTGCGACAATAATTTTGATTATAGCGATAAAAAAATCCTAGGACATTTAGAAGTCGTATGCAGAGTAGAAAAATGGCTTTCGAGGCCACAAGACTGACATCATCAGAATCGTGATCTAGGCCTCAGACTCACCGAAGAAACGGGTTTTAATCAGTTTTGCAAATATGCAAGAAAGCCTTCTTTCATTACAAACATTCCAATTAATTTCGTCCCCTAGTTAACGTGCTGACGCCAAAATGACGTCATTATTGGGTCACTTTTGGTCGGAAACGTTATTGACTAAAAAATGACTCCATTTTCATGATGACAACAAGACGTATCTTACTGAAAATACAACATTCACCTACAAAGAAAATATAGATTTTTAATGAGTAGTAAGGTAAACTATATAACCAAATTCTAATAACTGTTATTTATAAAAAAAGTATCAGGAATTCTTTGTCCAACAATTATATTTCAAGTTCAGATATTTAAAAATTGGCATTTTACATTATGTTTTATTTCCGTAAATGAAAAATTTATTGGAAACTCCTCTGTGTAACAATAAACAAGTTTTACTAGAATATTTGTAACGATGTCGCGGAACGAGAGGGTTCAAGAGTGGTGGGTAAGTAGAATATGAGTTTCACTTCTGAACTCACTGCTTGTGGGACGTCATTGTCACATCCACAATTTTTCAGGAATATTTGGATACAGGGTTTGTCCGGAAATAAATAGGACTCACTTTCTTCCGCCATGACTGTACTTCGGAGCATGCGCGCACCGTCTGGCTTCGGTAGAGGGCGTTCCCAGCTAACGAATGAGCGGCTGGTCAGTTGTCTCCGAGCACTTGGAGAGTCAGGACAGGCATTTTCGCGCGACGTGTTTCTGTAGTGGTGCAAGCCGAAAATGCAGCGTTCGTTAGAGCAGAGGTACGCGATTAAATTCTGTGTGAAACTCGGTAAATCTGCGACAGAGACGTTTGATATGATCAAGCAGGCTTACCCAGGTATTGCTTTAGCAAGAAGTGGTGTGTTTAGGTGGCACCAGGCCTCTTTGGAGGGCCGGGAAGAGGTCGCTGATGAAGACCGTGCAGGAAGACCTTCGACTTCGACAAACACCGATAATGTGTCTCGTGTGCGTAAAGTTTTGAACTGAGACCGTCGACTAAGTATTCGTTTAATTGATCAGATGTTAAATTTACCAAAATCTGTGGTTCATGACATTGTGACACAGCATTTGAACATGAGCAAGGTGTGCGCGAAGATGGTCCCAAAAGTGCTCACTGACGACCAGAAATTGCGGCGAGTGGAAGTGTGCCAAGAAAATTTAAACATGTATGAAAGTGACCCACAATTTTTGAATAACGTAATCACAGGTGTCGAGTCGTGGATCTTTGAGTATGATCCCGAGACAAAGAGGCAATCTTCCGAGTGGCACACGACGACGTCTCCTCGCCCAAAAAAGGGAAGAATGAGCAAATCCAAAGTGAAAACGATGCTCATTTTCTTTTTTGACATCAAAGGCATCGTCCACCATGAATTTGTTCCTCCTGGACAAACCGTCAACGCCAAGTTTTACGTGGAAGTGCTCAGTGAGGTCCGGCAAGACATCGCAGCCGACTGGAAGTTGCCCCGGCTCACACCGCCTTTCTGTGAACAGCTACCTGAGCAAGGCCGGCATCCCAACGCTTCCGCAGCCGCCCTACAGCCCAGATGTGGCCCCCTGGACTTTTTTTTTGTTTCCTCGCCTGAAAAGGCCGATGAAAGGCAGGCATTTTGAGACGACAGAGGGGATCCAAGCAGCATGCACCGCGGCTCTCAAGGCTATTCCGGAGAATGCCTTCCGTGACGCCTTCAATGCTTGAAAATCGCGCTGGCAGCGCTGCATCGACGCCGAAGGAGCCTATTTTGAAAGTTTTTAAATAATTGTAACGATTGGCTCAATAAATGTTTTTAAATCGACTCAGTCCTATTACTTTCCGGACTGTACGTCATTTCGACGTCACATAGACGTCATATCGACTTCAGATAGACATCATATCCACGTCATATCGACTTTGTATTTGGTATTCTATACCACATACAATGACGTCAATTGGGTGTGACAGGCGGTAATAATTCAGTAGTACCCTAAAAATGGCGACATTATGACTATTTTCATTGTTCCCTTACACACACCACGGAAATTAACTAAAAATACATCCTGTCGATCCAAGTTAGAAACTAATTTGCACAAAAGCAAGAATTTTTAAAATTGCACGTGTTGTTCATTCTCTTCAATAGAATTCACGAACTATGTGCGGTGGGGTAATTTATTGGATAGCTGCTTTTTAGGTCTATTACAAAATTATGTGTATATACTAATAGCTCATTTTTTTTTTCTGTTCCAGTTACTGGTGCCTCGAGTCCTAGGCATGTACGGAATCAGCGGGACTGCCTTCCTGATCTACATAACGAAGATTCCAGAACGCTTTTGTGCTGGTCGATTTGACTTTATCGGCCACTCTCACAACTGGTGGCACTTGTTCGTCCTATTGGCACTCTATTACTGGCATAACAGCGGACTCGTTTATATTGAATACAGGCTCAATCATGCTTGCCCTAATAAAATGAAATTTCCTTAAGCTGCATAGTTGTTTCATTTATAAATATATGAAACCTTTAAATTCTCGATGCCGATAATCTGATTAACAAAAAAAAGAGAATCAAATTTTCCAGCATTTCTTCAGATGTGTACTATACGCTGAGAACCAAATTTGTCTGACGGCTTGAGTTCAATGTGTACGAGAGAGAAGTGTGTATAGACACATATGTTTCATCAACGATATACCTAAATTAGATAATACAGAACTGGCTGTGTTTGCAGATGACACTGCAATCATAGCTAGCTCCAGACGAACTCGCATAGCTAATCAAAGAATTAATCTTCATTTTGATCTATTAGGGATATCTTTTAAAAAGTGGAAAATCAAAGTCAATCCTGAAAAATCAGCTCTTATAAATTTCAGAAAAAGTAACAGGCCCGAATCTGTGAATATTGTGAAATTGAATAATGAAGTCAATGAAGAAATGCAAGTAATTAAGTATTTGGATAAAAATTAACTTTTAAAGAACATATATTACAGCTGAGAAAAAAGGCTGCAGCGGCAAGAAAATATATTTATCCATACATAAATATTTTATCTCCACTGAGAAGTCAGAAATTAAAACTGCAATTATATAAAGCATATGTAAGAAGTAATGGGTGATTTTTTTGCTAGTATCTTTTTGGCAACACTGCTTTTGACAGATGACGCGTGAATCGTGTCTTGTGTCATTGTCAAACTTGTTCAGTTTGGTCTATAATTTAACCATGAATCGACTTACGAACGAACAACGCTTGCAAATTATTGAATTTTACTATCAAAATTCATGCTCGGTTAAGAGAGTGCATCGAGCACTGTTTCCAATTTATGGGCAATTTGGTCGGCCTACTGAGGGAGCTATTCGGAAGCTTGTGACTAAATTTCGAACCCAGTTTACATTATTGGACATTAAACCAGCAACACGCAGACGTAGAGTGAGGACTGAAGAAAATATTGCGGCTGTATCCGCCACTGTTAGTGATGACCGTGAAATGTCGATTCGCCGCCGTTCGCAGCAATTGGGCCTCTGTTACTCCGCTACGTGGAAAATTTTGCGACAGGATTTGGGTGTAAAACCTTATAAGATACAGCTGGTGTAAGAATTGAAGCCACACGACCTCCCACAATGTTTCCCATTTGGTGAATGGGCGCTGGCAAAGTTAGAGGAAGATCCACATTTTTATCGAAAAATTGTGTTCAGCGACGAAGCTCATTTCTGGTTGAATGGGTACGTTAACAGGCAAATTTGCCGCATCTGGAGTGAAGACCAGCCAGAAGCATTGCAAGAGCTACCAATGCATCCCGAAAAAATCACTGTTTGGTGTGGATTATGGGCCGGTGGCATCATCGGGCCGTACTTCTTCAAAGACGACAATGGCCGGAACGTAACTGTGAATGGCGAGCGCTACCGTGCGATGATAACAAACTTTTTTTTGCCCAAAATGGAAGAGCTGGACTTGGCTGACATGTAGTTTCAACAAGACGGTGTCACGTGCCACACCGCACACGAAACAATGGTCCTATTGAGAGGCGAGTTCGGTGAACAGTTTATCTCACGTTTGGGGCCCGTCAGTTGGCCGCCTAGATCGTGTGATTTAACGCCGTTGGACTATTTCTTGTGGGACCATGTTAAGGCTAATGTCTACAGGGATAAACCAGCAACGATTGACGCACTGGAAGCCAATATTGAAGCATTTATTCGTGAGATACCGGCCGATATGTGTGTCAAAATTGGACCTTGCGAATGGGCCATCTAAAGCGGAGCTGCAGCCAACATTTACATGAAATAATCTTTAAACATTAAATTATATCGACCGTTCTATCGACTCAAATAAAGATTTAATCGTTTTTTCAAATTTTCTGTGTTTTTTTTGAAAACCAAATCCTATACCTCTTAAAAAGTCACCCATTATATTACTTTATGCTGCACGTGTTTGGAGTTCTATGGCGGTATATCTATATAAGACATTAAGTGTGGCAGCAACAGAAGTTATGAAATTAGTAACAAATATTTATATGATATTGTGAAACTAACACCTCATATAAAAGTAAGAACACTGAAAAATTCTTTAACGGAAAGGTGCTACAGCTTCAGTTCATCGAAAATATTGGTCAATTATACATTGACACAGCTCCTTTCAGAATAAAACATAATCTGATAAATAATCTTTTAATCAATTACGCTGATTAACGCTTTCCACAACACGTGAAAATGAAAAAAAATTAACCACAGGAAGTACTTTGCATACATATGTACATATACATATACTTATTTTTTGTAAATATCCCAAATTCCTGTAAAAAACGCTCACACATTATATCAACTACCAAAAAACAGACGAAGATATATAGCAAATATGGAAAAAATCCGAAAAAGCTTAAAAATTTTAGATTTGCCGAAAATTGTCTCATCAAAAATTGTTTAAAATAATGTAGAAATTGATATTACGTAATTAGGATGAGTAACTGGTATAAGGTAATATTAATGTTAATATTGTAAAATTATTATTATTGTAATGGCGAATAAACCTTTATTTATTTATTTTAAATCAGTTCAGTAAGCCCCAATGCAAGCAAGGAGGAGGACGCTTGGTTTTTAAACAAAGCCGAAACAATACGTTATATTAGACATGATAAACCATTCTAACAAAACAATCTTTTCATCAAAAAATGGGTGGATTTTTAACCCCCCTCACGGAAATTTAAGTTTCTTGATCTTTGAAGATGCGTTGCCATAGAAACCCCCAAACCCCGACCATCCGCCCCTAAAGGATCATTTTTGACTAGTTAACTTTTGTGTGACCTTTGATAACACTTTACAAAGAACCGCCATCTGTGGGACGGTAGCCCAACTGAGATTTTTTTATATTAAAGGTTTTATGTTACAGTTTTTAACATTTGCTAGTTGAAAATGCACAGAATTACCTTAAACTCATTTAAGAAAGGTACGATGGATGTATTTTTGATTCGACTACTCTCCAATAGATGGCGCTGCATATCGGTAGCCAACACAATGCCCACCGTTTTCAATGACTACCTTGAGCTGCTGAAATCCGTTCAGTAATCCCCAATGCAAGCGAGGAGGAGGACGCTTTGTTTTTCAACAAAGCCAACTCAAAACGTAATATTAGATATAATAAACTAATCCAAACAAAATACTGTTTTCATAAAAAAGTGGGGATTTTTAAACCCCTTCCGGGAAAATTTAAGTTTCTTGATCTTTGAAGATGTGTTGCCAATGAATGGATGAATTAATGTTTATTCGCCATTACAATAATAATTTTACAATATTAGCATTAATATTATTACAGCTGTACCTTATACCAGCTACTAATCCTAATTACATAATATTAATTTCTACACTATTTTAAACAATTACTTTTGATGAGACAATTTTTGCCAAATGTCAAAATTTTTATGCTTTTGTTTTTTTTATATATTTGGTATATATCTTCATCTGTTTTTTTCTATTTCATATAGTATGTGAGCGTTTATCACGGGAATTTGGGATATTTACAAAAAATAAGTAGGTATACCTGTATACAGGGTGTCCCGAAAAAAGTGTGCAATATTCTGCCAGCGGTTTCTAGAACTTAAAATAGGAAGAAAAGTTCATATAAACATAGGTCGACAAACGGCCCCTAAGGGCGCTACGGTCTTTTAAAGGGGCTCCCCTAGAAATGGTTTTTTCTTAATATTTCCGAAACGTGTTGAGATAAGGACATAAAATTTGATATTCTAGCCTAGTTTTTAATGCTGGATTTAAATGTATTAACAATTTTAGAGAGTTTTGTTTGGAAGGGTATGTAACAGGGACGGACTCAGGTTATTTAAGCCGCAAAATTTTTGTGTGATATTTTTGAAATTCAATTTTAGAATTTGAAAATTTAGGGTTTTCTACATAAAAAAGGTACTCTTATTGAATATCGATAAATTATGCCATTTTTGAATAAAATCAAACTAAAAAATTTGTCACATAATAGGAAATGTACTGCGAATTTAAATGAATTGTTGATGTATGGCATGGCAACGAAAAAACTAATTTAATAATTGGTAAATATTACATATACACATTTCTATTGCAACATAGCTAACATTTAGGCGAAAACAAAAGAAATAAATTTTTTTTACGAACGAAATTGAAATTTGTTTAAAAAAGAAGACATACAGTTGGATATACTTAAAACTAGCTTTACAATAAGTGTTCAAATAAATTCCCATTTTCTTGGATACAGAGTCTCGCTCGACGAACTAATGATTGCGAGAAAAGTGGAAAACCTTTTTCTCCTTATTTCATTTGCAGCCTGATGGATTCTTTGAAGTAAATCTTCTTGAGTATTTACTTCAGTCGAGTAAACTAGGTCTTTTAATGACCCCCAAAAATAGAAATCCAATGGATTTAGGTCAGGTGAACGTGGCGGCCACGCTATAGGACCTCCTCGGCCTAACCACCTGTCTGGAAAATTGACATTCAACCAATTTCGAACATTGCGTCCTAAATGTGCAGGGGCGCTATCGTGTTGAAAAAACATATTCTCTTGAAACTGCTGGCGCACAGCCAATGGTATTATATCCATGAGCTCATTCTGAAGAAAGTTCAGATACACCTCTGAATTAAGACGATTGGGAAGTACAATAGGCCCAATTACTTGATCCCCAATTACACTTGCCCGTAAGTTCAATGAAAATCTATGTTGGAAATTTGTACGGCGAACAACTTTTGGATTTTCATCTGACCAGTGATGCATGTTATGGAAATTAAAAGCACCATTCCTAGTAAATATTGACTCATCCGACCATAATATTCTAGGAATAGTGTTTTCATTTGCTAATATCCACTGGCAAAACTCGATTTGTGGTAAAAAATCTGCCTCCGTTAAATGCTGCACTCGTTTAAAGTGATAAGAATGTAATCCTTGCATTCTTGTCATTCTTCCTATCTAAAATTATTATTTTTAGGGTAACTATCAAATAGGTATTCATAGATTTTTCTTACTATTGA